TTGCATGTTTAACATTTCCTGGTGAGGGCATTATGGCTACTGAATTTCAGGCAAGTGGTGCATTGGCTTCGTTATCTGTGCCTTTATATTTTGATTTATTTTCCAAGAAAGAGGTATCACTCATTGTTTAAAATTGGCATGACTGGATATAATTTGTAGGGATAGTTGCCTCTTTTGAGAGGATGAAACCTGCTAAGTTTCAGATGAATTTGCTGTCATGTGCATCAAGTCAACTCTGATTTATGGTGACCCTATGAATGACTAGCTTCCAAAATGTCCTCTCCTTGATGGCCTTGCTCAGTTCTTGTAAACTCAGGGCTGTGGCTTCTTTTATGGAGTCAATCCATCTCACATCTGGTGTTCCTCTTTTTTCCTTTCAACTTAACCTAGCATTATTGTCTTTTCCAGTGATTCTTGCCTTCTCTTGATGTGTGCCCAAAGTACAACAGCCTTGGTTTCATCATTTCTGCTTCCAGGGCAAGTTCAACATTTAAGACTGTTTGTGTTCTGCTTATTTAGCACTTAAGTCACAAAAAGGCAATAGGGCACATACAAGGGTGTAAAACCAAAGTACCAGAACATCTAACATTTTGCAAGCAATACCCATAGCTACACTCTTCCAGGACCCAGGCTTAACCAAACCTCTGGACTAGCTCTAGATGACTTCAGCAAAGCTAGCCCAAAGCACTGGAACTGGGGAACACTGGTAAAACTTTCACTGTAAGTTTTCACTCCATCCCCTTTCCAATATTTTTCTTATGTGGACCCTTGGGGCAAAAATATCTGTTTGATGACATACTGTCTGCATTTCTGTGATCCTCTGAATCCTTAATCTTCACTTAACAGATTTGGATTTCATCCACTTTGGTGGAGCACCAATTCAATTTGGACATCTCCTGAAACTGAAAATCAGCCAGATTCAGTTCAGATTCTTCTAAATCCAAACTGTGCCCCTAAACAGAAGTTGATTTCAGATAGGTCCTGCTGCTACCATTCAAAGCAATTGTGCATCTATTTCCACTTTCCTTTTAAAAAAAACAAACCTTTTTATGGTAAGAAGAAAAAAAGACAGATGTTGTGGTGAAAAGAGGAGTTACAGATTTGTAAGAGGACTTAGATTTGTTGGTCTTGTTGGTTTTTCCAATGTACATGCACAGGTGAGGGGGACATACCATCATACTGAAAGTTCAGCAGTGTGTAGTGATGGAAATGGGGAACTATTCTTTGCATAAGTGATCCATAAAGAATTTGATGTGGATGTTTAAGGTTCAGCAGAACCAGATCCTGAGATTCAGGAAAAAGCGATTTACACACAAAATGCATGATTTCTAGAATGAAAATTGCAGCAAAAAGAAAGATCTTACTTGGTTTAGGTCGATATACTGAAGTGTGAAAAAGTGACAAATGCCAATAATTCAATATTGTTGATACGAAAATATTCAAAGTCAGTTCTATTCTTCTTCTAATCTTTCCTGAAAACTGGCTGATTGTAAACTCAAGAAATGTGTGAAGTGGTAGCAGAAATGCCCAAAGGCTCTCACCCAGAGGGAAATTAGTGCTGTGATGCCATCTGGTGACCAAAACTATGAGGATGCACTTTCTAGAGGTGTTCAAGAACATGATGGGCTATGGAAATGCAGATAAGAGTGATTCTGTTAAGACACAATCCTATACATGTCTAGATAGACAAAAGTTATAGAATTCCCAGTGTTTCCTAAGCAGCCATGCTGGCTGGGGAATTCTGGGAACTGTAGGATTTATGCCTGTCCTAACATACATAGAATTGTGCTGGTAAAGAGAGCTCCCATGATAGGCCTTAATCAGTGTGATCTCCTGGCTTGGGATGATTTTGCATGCCCTGAAGGCAAAGCTCAAATACAGCTTATGGACACTACTTCTTTCTCAGAAAATGGTGTTGCAACAACCATACCAAGAAAAAAGAGGCACCGTCACCAAAAGAGGACACTTATTGCTAAAACTGGCATAAGTTAATATATGCAAATAGATGCACATTTAAAAATAGAAACAGAGAAGGCTATTTTAAAAATCTCAACAAAATAGAGGACTCATGGCCAGGTGTCCTAAGTGCTTACACAGTTGCTATCTAGATGCTAAGTGCTGATGGGGAACTTTAAGACCCTGCTCTCTATGTTCCACAGGGCTTTATATCTTTAAACTATGTAGGGACCAGCTAGCTGTTCAAAGAGGGAACAATATAGGGCAGTCCTCTGGTAGCCCTACAAACAGAGGATTGCTAAAGTGGGACAGTGAATGCTATATTTCTGCCTTCCCATTACTCCCCCGATAGTCTGCAAGCACTAGATATGGATGTGGGATGCACTTGATATGTGGGATCGGCAATATCAGAATAGCCAAGATAATGGCTATTCTCACACACAGAAGGAGCAATTTCCAGAGACAGAGCCATGTTAGACTGCTTCATTAAAAACAGGCTTCTTGGAACCCCAACAGTGAGTGTGAGAATAAGGCACTACTCCAGAGCAGGGAGACCAAGAGGGAGTTTTGCAAAGCACCTGCCTGCCCGGCCACAGAAAACAATAAAACAGAGACAAGCACAGAGTCAGTGAAGGCACTGAGCTGGGCAGAGAGCAGAACCCCATTTCAATCAACCTTAGGGGTGGGGGGCACTCTTACTTGGCTGTGACCAATGCTATGGAGGACTGCTCCTTCTTTCCCCACAGGCACATAATGAGTATGTCTTTCTTTTCCCTCCCCCATCCTCCCTTTCTCTCCCCGCTCCCCCCAAATGAGCCTGCTTCTCAGATCTGATCAGGCAGGGTGTGAAACACATGGCCCTCCACATGTTGTTGGGCTGATGGAGTTCTGGGATGGGAACTGGAAGATCTAATCCCTGCTCAGCCATGAAGTTTAAAGGATGACTTTGGACCAGTCACAAACGCTCAGCCTAACCTACTTCAGTGAGTTGTTGTTAGGATAAATGGAGAGGAGGAGGATCATGCGTACCACCCTACATCCCCTGCAAGAGGAAAAAAGTAGGATATAAATGTAATTAAGAATAATATCCTATCTACTCTGGTTGCTTTATTCCTTCCAAGGCATGAATTTGGAAGATTTCTGCAGGGCTGTCAGGGATAGGAATTTTGGAGGGCTTTCATTCATAGGGTCACCATAAGTTAGAGGTGGCTTGATGGCACATATCAACAAAAAAGAATAACAACAGCTTCCATCATCCTTAGCCAACATAGCCAATACTGAGAGAAGGTGGGAGTTGCAATTCAACAACATTTGCAAGGCAGTATGTTCCCCATCCCTGTGATAAAGGAAACTTCTGTCTGGATCTACCCATACATATTACATACTATATATACATATTATAAACATATGCATACCATACCCAAGATCTACCCATACTATTATTACTTGTTATGACTTATAGTGACCCTATGGATGAAAGCCCTCAAAAATGTCCTGTCTTTGGCAGCCCTGCTCAGCTCTTCTAAATTCTACCCTGGGCCTTTCTTTATGCAGTCAATAAATCTCGTATTTGGTCTTTCCTTCTTCTGCCTTCAGCTTTCCCTTGCATGATTCTCTTGTCCAGGATGTGCCTTCTAAAGATGTGTCCAAAGTATGACAGCCTCAATTTTGTCATTTTTGCGTCTAAGAAAAGCCGTGGCTTGATTTGATCCTTGTTTTTTTTTTTTTTTTTTTTGTGGCAGGGGGAGGGTGTCCAGAGTATTCACAAAGCCTTCTTCCATGTTGTAAATGCATCAATTTTCTTTCTGTCAGTGCTTTCCACTGGCCAGCTTTTGCACCCATACATAATGATCATGAATATGATGGTGTGCACGATCCTGGACTTGGTCTCCAGTGTCACATCCTTACACTTGATCTTTTCTAATTTCTTCACTGCTGCTCTTTCAAGTCTCGGGCTTCTTTGAATTTATTAGCTGCAGTCTCCATTTGAATTGATGTCTGAGTCTTCTCACAAGTTCAGTCTTTTCATTGTTAACAGTAAAGTTCTGTAATGCTTCTCTGGGCATGATTTTTGTTTTCTTAATATTCAGCTGCAGTTCTGCTTTTGCACTTTCTTCTTTCATTTTAATCAGGAGTCATTTCAAGGCATTGCTGCTCTCTGCCAGTAGTATGGTGTCATTTGCATATCTTAAATTATTGATGCATCTTCTGCCAATTTTTCTTTCTTCCTCTGATTCTAATTCATCTTTAATCCATACTATTATACATTCCAATAATTGCCAAATAGAAATGGTTACTTATTGGTTCTGAAGTCTTTTAATTAAAAAAAAAATCCTTTCTCCATGAATTTTCATTTAAATTAGGGCAGTATTCTAATGCATTGTACAGATCAAGATTTTTCCCATGTGGTAAAGGGTTAGTGAGTAGTCTGCTTATTATGTACAATTGTAACCCTGACAAGAAATTGTTAGGTCCATTTTTGTCAAGGGTACTAGGCTGACCATTCTTGTAATGATGTGGACAAATATGTTACTGTAAAAGTAGCCCAGTTTGCTGTTTTGCCACCTAAAGGTAGGCAGAATTTTATGGATAGGAATGCAAGAGATGACACAGGTATTAATCAGAATCTTTCTTTTATTCCTGTTGCAGTGAGAATCAGAACCATTTCTTTTTATGTCTCTCCTGGCTTTTTCTTCTTCATATTAATTGTCACTATTTAATGTGATGCATATCTGTAAATGTTTCATGCCAGATTATGAAAGTGCTTTATTTTGTGATAAATAAATTGCTTGCTGGTCCAGCTCCTGTGATTTTCAATTCTGTTTCAGAGATTGGTTGAGTATTAAAAGCTCCATCACAATTTCCCTGGATATTTTAACTCTGCACCCTTTCTTTCACTACATCCCTGCTCCTGCATCACATAGCTAAATGCACTGAAAGAAATGCCAGAGGGTACTGAGTCTGGTTGTCTCCAAGGTCTGTTATGGACTCTCGAATACAGTGCATTCTGGGTATCGCTTAAGCTGTGATGATCTCCGGTTGATGGAGCTCCAGATAACCCACCTTGCTCTTCCTCTGACTCTCTGCATCATCTTCACTCTGGGACTGTGGGAAAACAAAATACGTTATACCTAGCAATGCAAAATTACTTCTCATGCATCCCTTCATGTAATATCCATCTTTTTTGTCCAGCTGGCAACATGATTATGCCATAGAGAACAAAATGTTCACCATGGAATACAAAAATATTTGAGAAAAACACAGCCTACCAGTCAGAACTTCTGGTGCTAAAGAGAACGATGCTTTGACACCTTGTTTCACTATGGTGAAAATCTGCTATGGCTGCCATTGGCAAGAATGTCAGTGTAATATGCCAGTAAGGGCTGCACGGGGGCTTGGGCCCCTTGGGAGCCAATTAGGATCAGCTGCAGAGCAACAGAGGGTAGCTGCTCCTTTATGAATGTTTCTTCATTTTCCCCACAAGAACAAAATGCAAAGCCCAGATAGTTGCTTAGCTGATTCAAATCTCCAGGGAGGTATATAGAAAGAGCAAACTATACTTGATACTTGAAAAGCCTTGTTTCTTAACCTTTCTATCCCCAGCTGGCTATGCTCTGTATTGCTTCTGCAGCATAAATGTCAATTGCTTTTTGTATTAGAGATTCCTGCTCCAGGAAAGTAGGGTGTTTAACCACATGAAATCCTCTTTTGGGCTTTGCTCTAGTTTCATTCATTAATTATTTGCAACAAGGAAGTTTCAGGGGAAGGAATAAGTTTCCCTCATTCTGGCCTTGATATTAGGTGATGCTTTACCTCCAAATACAGGAATGATGTGACCAGTACAAAGAGAGCCTAAATAGAATCGAGGCATAAAGGATCCTACCACATTCACATGAATAAAGGAAGAGGTAGGGAACCTGTGGCTGGCAGCACCTTTGCACCTGGCCTGCAGCCTCCCTGATTGCCCTGCAAAAATAAACATTATGGCTCTTGGCCCAAACAGGTCACAGCATTCCTTGCAACAAGGCAGTTTAGAACAAACATTTCAGGAAGCCACAGTGTCAGCTGAGAGTGAAATGTCATTATCTTCCAGCCGTGTAAGAGTCATGCCTTCTCACATTTGGGGTGAGGGAAGAAAGGACCTATTTGCTGAAGCAAGGAAGAACAAGCAAGAAGCCTTTTCTGGGCAGGTTATTATGGCTACTCAGCAGGTAGTTTGCTGCAGATGGAGAGGGCCACTTAGAGGAGCCTCTTTGGTATTAACAGAGTAGTTGAGAAATTACTATCACAGCTGCTTAAAGGGGTCATGTTGGGGAAATCCTACAAGGCTGCAGGATTCTGAATTCTGGGAACATATGGCACTTTATTTCAGTCATTAGGTTTGCCAGCAGGAAGACATACACACTCTCTTTCTCTATCTGATTTGGGACCTGTAGCTGCAGGAGTTTCTGGCACAAAAGTAATATAAGCACAAACCACTGTTAACTGATGCCTCTCTCTTAAATAAATAATGAACAGAGTTTCCTTTTTTTCAGAGCCAGCTCATGTAACATTGGTTTTGCTGTCTATATGCAGGGTTTCCTAAGATTTAATTAAGAGCTACTTTCCCTCTAGTTCGGAACCAGAGGTCAAGCAGACATGGCGTCAGGATGAACCCTCCCAGGAGTGGCTCCTGGGCAGATCAGGAGGGGTGGCTGACCACATACCCTCATTAGCTGCCTGGACAGCAGTAGTATCTGGTGCCCCCAGGACTGATGGAACAGAGAGCAGGGCAGATGCTCAGTAATCTACAGCAACTGCTGGAGGAGGACAGGAGATCCTCAGGACACTCAGCAGCTGCAAACCATGCACTGGAGCAAATGTACCTGTTTCTGAGGGATCTCTGTGCCACAAGGGTAGCTGCCCATTTGCCTCCAATATTGAGCTGCTTCTGCCAACCCCCCCCCCCCCCACCACCACCACCACTGCAACTGCTTTTCTCCCATCACAGCCTGCCCACTGTGAAGCGGCCACCAGCACAGCTTGCAGGGGACAGCTTGCATGAGCGCAGGTGGTGGGACTCACCAGGACATCCCCCACACACTCCTCACGCTGAGGGAGGGGCTTTCCCATTATGCATGCAGGAGGCTGGAAACATCCAGCAGGGCCATGATGAGGTCTAAAATTTCCTGCTTAAAGTGACTTTAAAACTTTTGACTGAAGCATGTGGCAGGTGAGATCAGTTGTGTTACGGCCACTAGTATGATGCAGGGAGTGTGTTGCGGGGAGCCAGAATGGTAGAAGAGAAGGAGCAGGTCCTTCTGCTTCAGGTCGTATGACATCTCGCACTTGTGTGTCATAAGAAACTGAACTTGTTCCTGGTGTTGTTTTGCCTCCTCCTGCATTGTGGGGATAACAATGCAGTCTTATGTTACAGGCTGGTCGTAAGGATACAACAAAACAATGCATGCAAATACTCTAAAAGCATATTCTAAATAGCCATATAAATGCTAAATATTTATACTAAGCTAGCTTGCAGGAAATGGCATCTCTTCTGATCTATACAAAGACTGATGCCACCACAGCATTGGACAACTCCTTTGTACTGAGTCAACTTCTTAATGAAACTTAATGAATCAACACAGAACATGCAGCATTTGGCAAGCACTTAAGTTATTACTCATTGCTGAATAATGGTTCCTTGAGAAACTAAGATGTTTTGTGTGAAAGGCCATCAGTACTAAAAAGCAGCATTAACACTGTATGAAGTGATTCTGAGACTGTCCCAAGAGGAAATGGCTGCCAGCAATCCAACCAACTGGAATGCAGAACACCGGATTTAAACTGCATCTAGCAAACACCCAATATCTATCAGTCATGTCTCTACAGGGGGATGCAATACAGAAAATATTCATTACATGATTATAGCTGGAATACCCACAGGGGGACAAAGGATTCCAAGTCTCTGCAGCATTTAAATCCCCTTTGAAAAACTTAGCATTGCATCAAATCAGATATTCCTGATCAAGCAGCCTGAAGACTTCATATATACATACATACCTTTTACATCCAGCCTGCAATCTACAGAGGCCTCCCCAAAAGGGTTCACTGCTTTGCAGGTATAGATACCACCATCAAAGGGGTTTGGTTTACGAATTTCTAGGGAACAAACGCCTTGGTTCATGACAGCTAGATATTTAGGGTCTTCTCGAATCTCCATTTGGTTTTTCATCCAGATCACTTTGGGCTAAAGCAAAAGACAAGTACTGAAATAGGTGAGATGAACAGACATCTGAACAGACATCTGGAAGGCACTGCTCATTGGCCCCAGGTGGGCAGCAGTTTCCCCAGTTCTGATTGGCATCTAGACAACCTCTGTCCTTCATTGTTTTGTACCTCAATCCCTCTTGCATGCAGACTCACTGGGATGACTATTCATAATATCCTGATTATCTCCTAGTGTTGTCATAAACTGGGCGGCACCTAGGAATGTTCTCAGCTGCTCCTATTACACATGAGTATCTTAACCAATTTCTGAGAAACTGTTTAGACAGAAAAGAACCATAATTCCCAGCATGCCCCAGCTAGCTAGGAGTTGTAGGACTTGTTTCTGTCCTAACATGCATTGGGGTGTGCCCTGTGGAAATCAGAACTCTTATCTGCCTTTGCCTTCCTTTCCCAGCCAGAGCCGGAAGCCAGCTAGCTTGGTTAAAAGGTATAAAAGGAGGCATTCCAGATTGTGGGAAGAGGAGGAGGCAGAAGAGGGCAGGATATGAGGTGGCCTACAGCAGCTCCAGCCTTCTTCCCTCCTCTTCTAAGATGCTCTAGCCAAGCAGAGAGGAAAAGATTGCCTTTGCTGCTCTCCCACTCTCAGTAGGATGACCATGAGCCTCCTGCATGGATATCCATGGGCTCATGGATATCACAATAGGAACGTGCTCTAAGTAATACACCTGAGGTTATGCAGAAGAACTGTGGAAGAAACAGGATTAGAATCCAGGCTTCTATGATTAGTTGGGCCTTACCTTTTGCATCACTCTACTGAAGGACCAGTATTTGTTGTGAAACAGGTTGTGTCCTTTCATCACAACCAAATATAGGTGCATGAAAATGTCACAGTGACTCTAGAAAGATGCTTCAGCAATTTAGACTTTGCCAATTTTGATACAAATGGACCTAATTTGCTCCTCCTAAGCTGCTGCTACTGTTATTTTAGAGTTCAGTGTTTTTGAATCTTGTAAGATACAGAGTAGTACATTCTGTAAATTAAATGAAATACTGTATGGATCAGAATGGAGCTGTTCATAGACTTGGCAATCCTCTGAACATTGCATTGCACTTCTTGACTAAAAAACAGTATCAAAATGCATAATTTTGCAATAAAATACATTTAGAAATGCATTGTTAAGAGAAAATACATTGTAATACATGGTAAAAATGTGGATTTTCATGCAAATTAAAAATCCAGCAGACTCATGTAATGAACATGTGCAAATGTGCACTGGGAATAGATTGATCTATCCATCCCTAATTAATCCAATCCCCCTCTCCTTAATGATAAAAGGGATGGGTCACACTTCCTATTGCTCTTTCTGTACTACTGTGGAATCCTGCCTGACTGCAGATGGGCAGGGAGTTCCCAAGCCACAGTGGAGCTCACCTTCGGGAAGCCTCGGACACAGCAGACAAGCTGGGTACTGTAGCCCCGAGTGGTGGTTCTGTCAGTCAGAGGCTGGGTGAATTTTGGAGGTTCAGAGAAATCCCGGCTGTTGAAGGCTTCTGGTTTGTACATGACCACTGGGAAAGGGGGCAAATAGATTTAACTGTGAATAAGAGGAAGAACCAGCTTCAAAGTTTTTTAATTTTGCTTTAAAAAACCCAACCTGGCCATCAGGCTTAGAAGAGAAGGGATGGGTTTGTTCCAGCATACTGATGTGGTCCCTACCTGATTTTTTAATGTGTGCCACATCCTTGGTGATGGCAGGTCTCTCACTAAGGCCACAGGGGTTCTCTGAGAAGACTCGGAAGGAGTAGCTGTTGCCAATGATGAGATCAGACACTGTGCAGCTGGTGCGGTTGTAGTGTTCCAGAACTGTGAACCATTGCTAGAAAGCAGGGAAGACCAGCCTTGAAACATCCAGCAGGCCCTTGTTCAAGGCACAAGGCTGCCTTCTAAGCCTCCCCAGGGATTGCTTGCTGAATTATACCTACAGCAGGACTAAAACTTCTCCAAGCCAAGAACTATGGAATTGCTGACTCACCTTTGCAGCCAGCCAATCTGACCTGAGTTGCCACTATGCTGGGAAAACTATGCATTTAACATATTTTTTAATTTTGAGTCCTGTCGTTTTCACACCTCCACATTTTCCAAAGGTACTGTCAAAGGAAAGAAACAGCTCATAATCTAAATGGGTAAACTGAAGAGAAAATGAGAAGGAAGGAAAGCTCCCTACTGCACAGGCATTCATATTGCATTGGGGTGAAGATTCAAGACTGGAATTCCTCTTTACACAGCAAACGACTCAGTGTAGGCAGCAGTGCCAGCAAAGTGCGGGAAATGGACCCTTTTCCCAGCCATCCAGCATGTTCTCCCACTTTCCCTGAATGTATGTGCCATACTAATTACTGACACTATGCTGCATTAAAACCTCCGAATGATTATGTATTTGCATGCAGCAGTGCGATACTTCTTGGACCTTGTAGCAAGGCCCCTGACTCTTAGCGAAGGGGAATGCTTGTGCATCTGGCAGCAGTAAAACACCTAGATTCCCTCCTCTGCAACTTTCTGAAATGGGTACTTCCCAGAAGGCCTGTGCTGTGAGTGCCTGTTTCCAAACATGTAAAGGACCACTGTACTTAAAAAGACTGGCACAAGGGTTATTGAAAAGTCATTTACTTTTTAGAATAAACCTTGCCAAGGTTTAACAAACCTTAAAGCTCCAAAACGAAACATTGCAAACAATAAAAACTAATATGAAATCAAAATTAAAACACTCCAGGATCATATAGACCAGGGTTGGGGAGCATACGGCCCTCCAAATGTTGCTGAACTGCAATTCCTAGCATCCTTCACCCTTGCTGGCTAGGGCTGACAGGGGTTGTACCCCAGTGATATCCAGAGGGTTACACATTCCCCACCTGTGACATACACAATGATCCCAGAAAAATTCTGTGATCACCTGAGTATCTGGATATAAACAACCAGAAATGCTAGCAGTGCTTCTGTGCAGCAGCTCTGTGAGGGACATGACACAACTCCAGGTTTCCAGAAATAGCAGAGATCTCCAACTCTTCTTGGGAGTTGTGATTGGAAGGACCCCCGTAACAAACCTATGCTACAAAGGCAAACTAGGTTGACCTACTGCCATGCCTGAAATAAGTGCAGCCAATGCAGAATCAGGGAGGAAAAGGTTTGCAAGGAAATATTTGTTGGATTAAGAATGGATATATTTAGAGAGTTATTTAGGTTGTATGCTTGTTTTTTTTAATCAAAAATAATGGGTTATTTTTGATCCTGATTTATCTTCTTATTCAAGATAATGTTATGAATTCAATTTATTTTTAAAGCATTAAACAAACATTTCCTATAGTTCTGCTGTTCATGTCCCTGGCCGAATCTCTACTACATAAACTAGCAGTGGCCAAATGTGTATTCTTGTCTACTGTCACACTTCTACAATTCTTCCTAGTTCAACCACAATTTTTGTTTCTGTTGTCTGTGATGCAATATGCCTACATTAGCTTCATGTTCCAATCAAGCTGACACTTGCTTCAATGGATGAACTCCATATTATATATGAGCAGCTGAATTCTGCTTTCCTGGAATTTTCCTTCCTGGAAACCTTTTCCGAAGGATTTCAAAGAGCTATTTTTGCAGAATGAAAAATTAGGTACAAGCAATCATGACATCATCTTCTCTGGAATTTGTCTGGAGGTTGATGCACATTGCCACCAGTTCTTAAGAACTTTTTAGGCCAAAGAGAATGCAAAAAAAAAAAAAAAGTCCTCAAAACAAATCTGGACAAGATTTACTGTGTGTAAATCACCTTACTGCTTGAATTGCAAAGAGAGTGTTTAGAATTCCTCAGAAAAGCCAGAGGAAAGAAAATTTCCAGGAATCAAGCTATGGTTTCTCAGTCTTATTCTCAACCTGTGTTTTTCTTTGCAAATTCTTACCTATCAGCAGCCTAGATATGACTAGATACATTTCTGTACATTTAATGTAGAATGTTAAAAATGTAAATGTAAAATGTAAGCTGTCCTCCGTCAGCTTCACTGGCTTCCCATTGAAGTCCAGGCCCAATTCAAGGTGCTGGTTATCACCTACAAAGCCCTAAACGGCTTGGGACCTGGTTACCTAAAGGAGCGACTGTGTCCATATGTGCCCTCCCACCCCTTGAGATCGGTGGCAGAGGCCCTTCTCTGGGAGCCCTCTGTGAAAGATATTAGGAAGGTGAGTACCCGAAGGAGGGCTGTCTCTGCGGTGGCACCCAATCTATGGAATGCGCTCCCCAGAGAGATCCGCCTGGCGCCGTTGTTATTTGTTTTTCAACGCCAGGCCAAGACCTTTTTATTTAAACGTTACTTTAACTGTTGATTTTATTTATTGATTTTAAATCTGTTACCAGGATGTTGCCAGTATTTTATGTATTTTGTTTAGAAATATATTTATTTATGTATTGGAAGTTGCCCCGAGGCTTATGTGAATAGGGCAGCATACAAGTTGTCCAAATAAATAAATAAATAAATAAATAAATAAATAAATCCATCCATCCATCCATCCATCCATCCATCCATCAGCCTGATGGGAGCTGTTAATCAATGGGGTCAGATCAAGCACAGAGAGGAAATTTAACTTTCTCCATTCCTGCTGTGGTTCCTAGGAAAACCTCTCCTCTCAAACTAGTATTTGCATTCAGGGGGAAAAAATCCCCTAACAGAGTTTGGCCATCTGTCCCACAGCTCTGCATCCCCACCTTAGCCAGCTGCCACCCTCTTAGTTATTCCCAGCTCCTTATAGTTTTGGATAGCAATCTAATTTCCATGCCTCTGAAAGTAGCACCCACTTTGCAAGAATTATTGATCCCACTGTTCCAGATAGACAATGTCCCCAGGTAGAACAGATCTTTAAATGCTTCTCCCAATATGTTGCATACCGTTTTTTTAACCATGGCAGTTACTGACTCATGGCCTTATAACCTGGCCTATCCTGCATGAACGGAAACATAAATGTATGCTCGGAATAACATATTCCGGTGCCATCCTAATTATACTGGTGCACCAGGGGTCATAGTATTCAGATGTCAACAAGGCACTATAGATCAAGTATTTTAGTAAGCATGAAGGGCCCATACTCAGTCAGCTGCAAATTCCACCAAATGAGTTTAGCCAATTCTTAGCATAATACACTAGATAGGTTGTTGTCAGAATCAGAGGAATGAACCTTGCTCTCTAGTAAGTACTACAGAATTTTTAAAAAGTGGACCCCCCAAAGTTTAATTTTCAGGTACTAAAGAGGAAGCCAGGAGAGGTGCTATTTTTTGCAAATATATTATTGCTTTGTATGTCCAAAAAACTCAGGATGCATTGGAGGATTTTGTGGTTTCCTTACACAAGAGTAGGTAGGCAATTAAATCTATGCCAAGTGCTACATTAAGTATATTATATTGTAAAGTATATTATAAGTAAAGCAAATAATGCCACAAACAGCTTAGGAGGCATTTAGCTAATAGGTTTTTTAAGATGGATTAGGACAGTAATGGCGAACCATTTAGAGACCGAGTGCCCAAACTGCAACCCAAACCCCACTTATTTATCACAAAGTGCCAACACTGCAATAAAACCTGAAAACTGAGGGTTTAGTTTAGAAAAAAATAACTCACAGCCAGTCCAACCAAATATATATATCCTTGGCAGCGCACTGGCTGGCCATGCGAAAGCTCGGATGAGTCACGACTAATGAGTCATGACCTCGTTTTTCTAACCCTAACACTGCCCTGGTGCCACCCCTAACCCTAATACAGGGCTAAAGTTCCATTGAAAATAATGCGATTTTGAAAAAGCCATCCTTGAGTAGCTTTTTCTGCACAGCTCATCATTTCTGCCCATTCTAAACACATTCCAACCATCAAAATTATGCCAGGACACCTTGTTTTTGTAACCCTAACTCTACCCTGGTGCACACCCCTAACCCTAACACAGGGCTCAAATACTATTGAAAAGAGGGTGATTTTGAAAAAGTCTTCTTTGAGTAGCTTTTTCTTCACAGCTCAACATTTCTGCCCATTCTAAACACATTCTAACCACCAAAATCATACCAGGACACCTTGCTTTTCTAACCCTAACCCTGTGATGGTGAACCTTTTAGAGACCGAGTGCCCAAACTGCAACCCAAAACCCCCTTCTTTATCACACAGTGCCAACACTGCAATAAAACCTGAAAACTGAGGTTTTAGTTTAGAAACTAAACTCACAGCCAGTCCAAGCAAATCTCTCTCTCTCTCTCTCTCTCTCTCTCTCGCTCTCTCGCTCTCTCGCTCTCTCTCTCTCTCTCTCTCTCTCTCTCGCTCTCTCTCCTTGGCAGCGCATTGACCAGCCATGCGAAAGCTCGGACGAGTCGCAGCTAATGAGTCATGGCTCGTGACGTCATCGCCTGGCACCACGACTCCTTTCTGAGCATGTGCATGGCCCCTGTGTGCGCCATTATCCGATGCTTGGCTGCTGGGGCAACTTGGCTTTCGTGCCGACAGAGAAGGCTGTGTGTGCCCACTGTGGCACGTGTGCCATAGGTTCGCCAACACTGGGTTAGGGTAATGGCTTTACAGCACCCATTACTGATCCCTGTAAGAATGTCTACTCCCAGCTGTTCCATGCTTGTGGTCTGTATCTCTCAAGTGCCCCATTCTTACCTTAGTTTTCAATTCTGCTTTTTGGACTGTGTAACCCTTGAGCTCAGCATTGCCATTATCTTTCGGTGGCTTCCACTCCAGTGCCACATTAAAACCCCACACATCCAGCAGCTTCAGATCCTCGGGAGGACCTGGTCTCTCTGAAAAGAAAAGCCCCACAATGCAGGCACATTACCTTGGAAGGATAACAAAGATAACCAGATAACAAAGAGTAGCCATCTAGAAGAAAGAAGACATTTTAAGCAATTGGGAATATGTGTCTCATCTATGATACACTGCCCTTTCAGCCCCAACTTCAACCACTTGACCTTAGTGTAGACATAATGCCAAGAACAATGGTTCCTAATTTTTCAGTGTCTTTTCCCTGCACTGTCGACTTACCCAGTTATGTAATGGAGTCAAGCCTACAACAGAAAAGTTGTTACAGTAAACACCTCCCTTGTGGCATAAGTGCCAAATTATCCAAGTGCAAAGTAACGCTATCTACTCCATGACGGTTCTGCTTGCCACTTGAGGCCCAGGTGGCTCCAGTGGCACAAAGTGCCTTCTACCATCTTCAGCTAGTGGCACTGTTATGCCCCTGTCTAGGCAGGGATAGACTGATTTCAGAAATCTATGTTCTAGCAGTTGCTAAAATAGATTATTTCAATGCACTCAACATTGGACTGCTCTTTAAGACTGTTTAGAAGTTGAAGCCAGATTAATAGCTAGCACCAGAAGGTCCAAACATATAGGACCAGTTCTGGCCTGCTCACATACCTCTAAGTTTCCAAGCCCAATTCAAGGTGCTGGTTTTAACCTATGAAAAATAATCCTAACCCTAACCTATAACCCTGATGGAATGCCTCTCTTGGCCTCAGTCTACCCAGTCACTATGATATGCAGCAGATTTCTAATCCAAGGAAGTCCTGGAAAAAGGCAAAAAAGAGGAAGACCTTTTCAGTGGTGACCCCAAAATTATGGTGACCCAAAATTTATGGGATGAGCCACCTGGCACTCACAACAGTATCTCTTCAGCATCATGTTAAAACTGCCATCTACTTCCACACATGTAATTGCACATGAGGTGATGTGCCATTAACAAGTGAGTTTCTATTGAATAGCTTGCAATGTTTAAACTGCTTTAAATTTTGTACATTGGAATTTTACATAGGGTTTTATTGCATCTGCACTTTTATTGTATGCACTTTAATATGTTTACTTTGATCAATTGTGAACTACCCAGAAAGCTTCAGATCTTGGGGTGTACAGAAATGAATAGCAGCAGCAACAACAATGACGACGATGATGATGAAAAATGGAATTCTGTGGCTCTTGCTTTAGAGGATGTTGCTTCAAGAGAAGAAGTATTTGTGCTCATCTCCCTTCAATCAAACTGTATGTTTCCATTGTCCTTACCAATCACCCTTAGATCAATGGTGGCTTTGTCTTCTAGTTCATCTAAGATCTTAACACTTATTTCATATTTTCCAGAATCCTTGCGCTGCGCATCTCGGATAAAGAAGATGGAGTCCCTGTCACTGTTGCGCACAACCACTCTCTTGGGATCCAGCGGCTGGCCGTCTTTGGACCATGTCACCTGTGGCTTTGGCTTCCCCTACAAAAAGTACATGGAAAATAATTGGTACAAGTTGCCTTTGTTCTATTTAACAAGGACAGAGGTGCAGAACTTCAAAACTGAGGCCCAAATTCAACCTGCCAGGAGTCCCAGTCTGCCCCGCCCCCCTGAAGTTCCCCAGATGGTATCACTCACTTTTCTCCAACCAAAGATAATTCGGGGGTTTCCCAGCTTTTGTGAAGCTTCCCCCTGCCCCCCTCCCATCCTAAAAAGTTGATATGCATCTCCCAAGGTTTCGACACTGCGGGAAGAGCTTTAAGCTAAAATAAGCTTGTGTGTGTAGTATTTTTGGCTCCACTCTTTTTGCCTCTGGAAAGTCTTCCCAAGAGCTTCTCTGAAATGGAATTCAGTCCTTGGGATGAAAGGGATTCTGTACTCCAGTTCTAGGCAACTAATGTTTACAAATACACTTCTACGCAAGAGGCAGCTAGTGGTCTTTCATGATGGCCTACGAGAGTCAAGTGCTCCATAAAACACAATGAGCAGGATGACTGTGGCAGGGACTGGAGGTTCATTCAATTCAAGGGCTAGACCTGACTAGTTCAGAAGACTAAAACCTAGTGCAAAATGACCACAGTCATTCTGTCTGGCAGCCTAAACTTTACACTTATTATACATTCCTTCCCACTTTCTAGCTGGGTATAATTTAGTATCTCATAAACGCAAAAACAAAACAAATTTTTCAGGAGTATTTTTGGAGACAGGGCAGTTGCAGGCACACATTTATTTTAACATCACTCATATTTCAGATGCTTTGAATAAGGAGTCTCCAAAGGTCTTAGCAGTGTCCTGTTATAGAATTAAAGCCGCTGCTTGTGCATATAAATTTGCACCAGACAGATGATTTTTTTTCACAGAATTTTCCTCAAAGCTGTGGGCTATGAAGTCACCCACACCCTCCAAAAATCTAGGGACAGCTGGAACTCACATGAATGTGTGGCAAATGCAGTTGCTTCTGGCAGCTGTCCCTTCAAGGGTGGAGCCTAGATCCATAATAGCATCCGTCTACAAATATCAAGGAAATGCATGGCATGCTATACCCTCTTCCAAGCCTCTCTATGCCACTACATATGGCTTGTACTTGCTATTTTTGGTAAAGAGCTATTTTAAGCTCTGGACTATAAACCCTCACTCCATTGCTCGACTGAAACATATTGCTTCTGTCTTCTCAATACAGATAACATGTCTGACTACAGCATAGAGGTAATCTGTTAGGTAAAAGCTCTTTAAATCAGATGAAGATAAAGAGAAGGTCTGGCACCAGATTTCAGTGCCAAGAATAGTCAGATAGTTATAAGAGTCTTTTTATCAGCGTCCTGGGATTAAGGCTTTCAAAAGGCATGGATCTGGCATGACTTGAAATATCATGCTTTTGTAAAATGTGCTTAGGCAGGGTGAGACTTTATAGCTTGGAACTGAATGACTTGTGAAGTACCCTGTTTAATCGCAATACAAATTTCTTCTCAGGCTTGAAACTGCTTTTGGTCCAGGTCCATTTCTCCTCTATCCACCTCACTATTCACTCCACAGGCAAGTGCTAAAGGGCTGATAGGTTCTCATTTAAGTCAGTGCACCTGTCCCCCAGGCCCTATGAAACTTGCTCTCTTCTGCAACTCTTACTTTGGTTTATCTACTATTGTTAGCTTCTTGCCTCTTAATCAAAGGCTTCTCTTCAGAAGAAGATGAAAAGATTAAACAGCCACTGAATAAGAACAGTGACCCACATACCCGAAAAGGGACCATCAGGTTCACCGATTCTCCCACAGTCCTCATGTACAAGTCCCTCAAGAAGCGTGGCAGTCGGATCTTGGGTTGCTCTGGACAAAACAGAATCGCATAGTCTGCCGTGAGTATTGTGGAATGGCAGGCACATCTCCCTCGTGTGAACCCAAAGTGGTAAGGGGGAATCACCTGGGCAGGGATGGGGAATGTGTGGCCTTACAGAAGTTGCTGGACTACAACTTCCATCAGTCCCAGTCAGCATAGCAAGTGGTGAGGGAAGATGGGAGTCGAAGCCCAACGACATCTGAAGGGTCACCTGTTGCCCTCTTCTGCCATAGTGTAATCTTTCCACAACATATTCTATTTTACCTAGTGAAGGTAATTCAGTAAAATCAAGAGAATTTTTCCTCTCAGCACAGCAATGCTTCTTCCTCAGGTCATAAACACAACTCAGAGATGCAAGGCAAAACAAAAAATGGTTAAATTTACTATCACAGTTTAGAGTATCAAGATGGAAATGAGTTTGGCCAATGCCACAAAGGCAGCACCTTACCTTTTACCCAGTATTAAATGACATATTTATAACTTGCCCCAAGCCTTGCAGGTCTTCAGGTCAGGTTAATAACTTTAGAAAAATATCACAGGAGCAGATAGAGCTGTGATCTTTTTAAAAGGCTAAACCTATAGATAGAAGTCAGAAATAATAGCTGTTTCTCTGAGTGGCTTACAAAATGCTAAAGCAGCTTATAAAGTACAATCAGTAAAATAGATAAAAATAAAAAAAATAATTAAATGTTAAAATATTATCCAACATGATAAAACATAATACTGATTCATATTTAAGACACAGACCAAATATAACCAAATATTAAACAAAACAAGCAATTAAATATATAAATTAACAACAAAGCACAAATTAAATTAACCAAATGCCTGGGGGGTGGGGGGAGTTTTTATTTGGTGCCTAAAAGAAAGCAAGAATGGAGCCAGCTATATGTCCCTGGAGAGTGAATGACAAAGTCTGGGTGACCCCATCCAGGGCAGGTTGAATATTTCCCAGCTGGAGTGTGGGAATGCCCACCAACAGAACCTCTGTCTTGTCTGGATTCAGCTTCAGTTCATTGGCCCTCATCCAGCCCATTACCAAACTCAGGCACTGGTGTAGAACAGCCACTGCCTCACCTGGATCAGATGAAAAGGTGAGGTAGAGCTGGCTGTCATCACCTCACTGGTGACACCTCAGCCTACACCTGTGGATGGCCTCACTCAGTGGTTTCATGGAGATATTAAAAAGCATGGCAGACAGAATTGACTCCATGGCACAATCACCAGCCCTCCAGTGCCACCATCTGGAACCAATCAGCCAGGTAGGAGTGGAACCACTGAAAAGCAGTGCCCCCAACTCCCACACTGGCCAACCATTCCAGAAGGACACCATGGTTGGTGGTATCAAAAGCCACTGAGAAGTCCAGAAGAATCAACAGGGTCGCACTTCCTCTATTTCTCTCCTGGCACAAGTCATCCCATAGGGCAACCAAGCTAGTCTCTGTACCAAAATCAGACCAAAAGCCTGTCTGAAATGGACCTAGATCATCTGTTTCCTCCAGAAGGGCTTGGAGCTGCTGACCCACCACCCGCTCAATCACCTTGCCCGGAAAGGAGATATTGGCTACTGGTCTAAAGTTGCTTGCAGCCACAGCCCTTTCTTGATGCATCCCTCCCATCATGCTGACATAGACCCCTTCCAGCTATGGCATCAAAAGCAAGTGTATAGTCCCATTTGCCACAGTTCTGCTAGCTCTAATGACTCCGGGTGCTGCCGCATGGAGGGTTCCTACCACTACCAATCAGAAGGCAGCTATTCAACCTTATGTTTCTTTAACATATTTTCTGTGGAAAGAAAAAAGTCAGAAGAAGTGGTGAATAAACATGGGAGGGTTAATGAATGATGTTGTCATCTGGATTCCCTGAAAAAATCTATGAATAAGACAAGGTAATGACACTATGAAAGCCCTGTCCAGAAGCACGCCCAGTAGCTCAAGAAAGAATGGGCATATTTCACACCATTCCACCCTGGGACTAATTCAATGTCCAACTGAAGGATATTCAAAAAGGCATATGAACAAGGCTTGCTGGAGTTCTTACTGTTGATTCCCTGAGAAGTTGAAACTAGCGGATGTGACTTTCACCTCTGTACTCTACAGATATGCAATTAAGCACTGCCTGGAGCTTCATTTCAGCCAGACTGATATCATAAGGATTAGAAAATCTGTGCTCCAGAGACAGCGATTTCTTCTGTTTCAGTGACAGAACTGATGCAGTAGGAAGGAGCAACTGTCTTCTCTGTCTCATCCAAACCTAAACCTGCACATCTACTCCAATTTCATACAAGATGAAAAATCCAGAGCAAGACCCTTAGCTCCATATCTAGCCCAGATTTTTTATAACACCTAAAGACTCTAGGCATAGATCCTGCCCAATAGTCTAAGCTGGAAGTCTTGGATCCTGTACATTCTTACTGATTAGGGCTGCAAACCAATGCCCACTTACTTAAGAGTACCTAAGAGTAAGCCTTAATTACCTAAGAGTAAGCCTCAATTAATCTTACTCCTGAGTGGGCACAATATTGGGATGTGAGACTCCAAGAGAGGATAACATCCTCATAAGTTTTCAGATATAATATTGGATGATAGGTGCCAGTTGCCACGAGTCTCCAGGGAATGATCTTTCTGCTTGGAATGCAAGATTTTAGTCTCTAAATTTAGTAAGTGTAACAAGAGTATTCTTTCAAACTAGATGTGAAATACTTGTTATGTAAACTGGAGGATCAGCCATTACTGAACAGCATCTTTGCTGAATAAGAAGTTGGATTCATACTGAAACTTCTACAAGTAACAGTTGCTCTGTATTTCCTGAGATGTATAAAAAACAACAACAGCAGCAACAACCTAGGTTCCCTCTACCTAATAGTAACTTAAAATGTCAGCTGCGTTGCTGATAGATGCACAGTCCATGCTGGAAACATGCCTATATACATTCCCTGGGGAAACATAATGTAAGATGCAAATGAAGTCTCTGTATGTTTAATCACTTGTCATCGCCCTCACTAGCATCAACATAGCAATAGCATAACTGTAGCATGCTATATTTGTAAGTAGCCTCCTGGGTGGTAAAGGAATTACACTGGGGTTTAATGGAAGAGCTGTGTGTGCCTCTAAGGCTTAAATACACAGCAGCAGCTTACATTCCAGAAGTGTGCACATAAAGGAAGATCCAGAATTAAAATGAACTGGATAGTTATTTTATCTACTGTGTGCAATGGACTAAGATGCACCAAAAGCAACTCTGAAAGACTTAAATGGCCCTGCAAAAACTGAAACAACATCTTCACGCACCCATCTACTTGACTTCAAAATCCTTTCTTGGCACTTATCAGTCTAGAGAAATGTAATACACCAAGGAAAGGACTTAATCTCTATATAATGTTTCCTATCCCTGCATGTAAGACATAGCTTGCTATTAAAGGTACCATGTTAATCTCATTGTGGTGTAATGGCAAGACTGTCATCAGGAAGACTTGGTTTGAATCCCTGCTATGCTGGTCTGCACTTTTGGATACAAATGTTATGCAGGTGCTCCAAGAGAAAACATGACGGATGACTCACTGGGACCATGGAGCCACATGAACCATGATTTGAACCACGTTGCTGCTTTTCTTTCGACATAAAAATGGCAGCATTAAGCATGCTTTATAAAACTCTTGATTAATGTAACAAGTATTTTGGTCATCATTAGCCATGAAATTCACTGGGTCACCTTGAATCAATACCTAAGAGCATAAAAAGAGCCCTGCTAAATCTAACCAGTCTAAAGGTCTAAACAGTCCAGCATCCTGTTTCCCATGCTGTTCTATGTGCCATTATGGTGACGTCATGAAGGGATGCCCTCCAGAGTGTTCTGTCCTTGACAGCCCCACTCAACTTTTGTGAATTCAAGGCTGTGGCTTCCTTTCTGGAATTGATCCATCTCCTATTTGGCTTTCCCCTTCTTCTTCTGCCTTCCACTTCCCCTAGCATGATTGTCTTCTCCAGGCAGTCTTGCCTTTTCATGATGTGCCTGAAGTACAACAGCTTCAGTTTCATAATGTTTGCTTCCACTGGTTTCCCACAGTGACCAACAAAGGAACCCTCAAGAACCAGTCACTAGCCCTCTCCTGTGGTTGCGTGCTGCCTCTGATCCTAGTTGGTTGTCATGACTCATCATGACTGATTGTCATTTGGCGTTATATTACTTGGATTTATCTAATCTCTATTTAAAGCTGCCTAAGTTAGTGGACTTTTCATGGAAGCAAATCCCATAGATGAACTATGCTCTATGTGCAGAAGTGCTTTCTTCCATCATTCCTGAATGTGCCCCCATTTAACTCTACTGAATCATCTTAGGTTCTAGCAGTATAAGAAAGGGAGAAGGTCTTTTTTTCCTATCTACTCTTTCGACACCTGCCTATTTAAACATACCTTCACTCTGCCCCTCCTCCTCATTCACCTTTTTCCTAACTAATAACCTCTAATCATTGTAGCCAGCCTTCAAAACAGAATTGTTTAGCCTTAATTTTTTTATCATGAATGTCATGAAAATAAAAATGGGTAGCCCCTCTGTATGTTATCCTGAACTCTCTGGATGAAGGATGGTACATAAACATGAAGACGAGTGTAATGGTCAGTGACAGACTGGAGCTTTAAGGCTTCATTTTCCAACTTCACCAGTTAGACCACCCAGTTGTAGTAAACCAACATGCTGCAAGCAACAGGTTAAACCAGGAAGAAAACAAATGAAAAAGAGTTCCATGAAATATTGTAGGGCCTTGGAGATTAAACAAGCATCACTAACTCTGGTTTTCAGACTCACTGTGCCAACAAATACAAACTAGAGATGAAATGCACCAAAGGCTATGCCAAAGACAAGGTACAAGCCAGAAACACTGTAGAGTACCAGTCTTGAGATGCAGCATCATAACATTTGGGCCAGCTATTCCAGTACTGATTGTTTATGACTTCCTCCTCCAACTTAACTAAACCATAGACAAACATTTACCCAACATGGGATAATCCTGACCTCCTCGTTCAGGTTTGGCCCAAGACATTCTGCTGCCTGATGCAAAGGACAAGAGCGTATCTCCCTCTCATTCCATATACAAAAGCTGTCCAGACTGACAGTGGCATCTTAGTTCAGCACTGGCGACAGGACTGTGATTCCGCCATAGCTGAAGGCATTAAGTTATTTATTACATGTATATCCCACTTTGTTCATACAATGAACTCAAAGTGACTTACATCATTCTCAGTCATATCCCAGGACTAATGCAAGAATACATACACAGTTGGAATCCTGCTACCAGGAAAAGCCACTTAGGAGAGATGCCTTAGAATGGAAAATCAACCAGTAGGGAAAGGATTAAACACTCCCTTCCCTACCAGTCCTCTGCTATAAGTAACCCTTTCCCAAAATGGCATTTCTTATAAATGTGCAAATGTAGAAAATGCCTTTTCTTATGGATATGTGCTAGTAATGAATGTTCCTTTTGACATTTGCTAAAGAGAGCAGTCTTTTCCAGAGGAGGCAATTTAGAATAAAGGAGCACCAAGAAGAGGAGCTTTCAATCTTTCTTCTGTGTGTTGCTTCTCTATTCCAAATTGCTTTCCTTCCCCTAGCCAGCTTTTCTCCTTTTAGAGTTCCAAATGAACATTGCCTTCCATCAATTTTAGGATGTGGCTAAGGGAGAAAGAAATAACAATTACATGATCCTTTCAGCACACAGAAGTATTGTCTCCATACTGTGCGTAAAGAGCTGAAACTGAGCAATGGTGGGTTACCTAAGACCCCCGGTGAGCATCTGCCTGAGCAGAGTTCCAAAGGGGCCACACCATACTAACAATATATAACATCGAATTGTAAATAGCTCCACAGTCTCTAAGGAGCTGTAACACCTTTTGTCTATATGTTGCTCAAGAAAAGCAGGAATTTGCTTCCCAAAGTGTACATAAAGCAGCCTCATTAGTTGCCTGCTTTATGTACACTTCCCAAAGTGTACATAAAGCAGAATATAATACTGCTTTTTGGTCTAGATTCTAAAGTTTGTAGAAGATGGCATATTTAGGGCACAATCCCATAATGTGTGCCCTTGATGACTGAAAGCGCCCCAATTACCTAGGGAGGTCATGGGCTTTCCCATACTAGAGGCTTTTAAGATGCAGCTGGACGGCCAACTGAGAGGGACGGTTTAACTTGGAGTCCCGCACTGAGCAGGAGGTTGCACCCAGTGGCCCTCTGGCTCCTTTCAACTCTACTATTCTATGATGTTGTGGAGGATGAGAAAAAAGGAAAAGCTGATTTTTGCCTCCCCATTTCCACACCTGGCAATTTGCACTAGACAGGCTTTGTTGCCCATCTAGCTGGAATGTTTCGGGGGGGGGGGGCATGGGGGAGGAGACTAGGAAAACCAGAGGAAAATTTGTATCCTGGCTTTTTCTAGAATCTTGTCCTCCTTCCTGCAACACCCCCTTTTACCCATCTTCAAGCTTATGTTCTCAGTCTTGGAGAGGCAGCCAGCATGGGTTTTTTTTCTATGCCAGCAGGGGAAGAAGAGCTCACAACTCCAATTCTCCCCTCCAGAGCTGGAGTGCTTTCCCTGCTCTAACTTCAGATCAGGGAAGCCAAAACAGAAATGGTGTAGGGGCCAAAGGGCTGCTTCCCCCAACTACAAATCCCACCGCAATGTGCTACACACTGCAGTGTGATCCTAGAACAGTTTCCCCAAAGCCTATTTGAATTTAACTCACTAGTGACAATAAAGAGAAATGAATTCTCCTACAGATGTACAGACTTCAAATAAAGATGACACACCATCCTGGAAAAGCATCTTGCCACACGCTAGCCAGTGGATTTGATCCTGCAGTAACTGGAATAGCCATGGTGGCTGGGGGTGATGGTTGATGTAATCCAACACATCCACAGGGCTCCAGGTCAGGAAGGGTTGTTCTGGGTGAACTATAACAGGGCATCTGACTCTCAAATCTTTTGACCCTGTCCATTGAGCAATAAACTTTTTACACCTGAGTTGGGGTCATAAGGCAGGAGGGCACAGGAAGGAGACATTCAAATTCTGTGAACATTCGCCAAGATCGCTTCGCTCATTAAGTTTTGAGGGAACTATAAATACAATTGGAGTTAAATATAAATTGCATGGAATTGCCAGAAATATGATCATTATGAGAAATTGTATGAAACTGAGCTCCCCCAGTAACATACTGAATATACCACAGAAGTAACTTCTTTAAATAATAGTCAATCAAATATAGTGAAGGCGCATGTCCCACTCCCATCAGGACATTTTGCTAAAATCATCCGTTTGCTCAGCTCTGGCAGAACAAAGCCACTGATGAATTGCCAATATGTAAAAAGTGATTCTGTGTCAGGTTCCTTCAGCTCCAGGTTGAAAAGGCTACCTGGGAATTTAGCAAAAGTGGCAGGTGCACACCTTGGCAGCCCTACCCCTTCCACCTGCGAGTGGTGCACAAGCTTGTAGAAAAGGGCTTGAACGTTCAGGAGAGGGCACTGTGTAAGTGAAGGGACCTTTCAACCAGTTGCAACCTTTTAAAGACAACATTGCAAACTGCTTTTTGTGGATGCTTCCTAAAAATGGGAGGCAAAGGAAAGGGCAGCCCCCTGCTCAATCCCCCCTGACTACCAGCCCATGCACAAGTAACAGGAGTTTGCTCTTCTGTAGGTGTGGTCACAGCCTATGCTGGCAGGTAGCGCCACTGCACACTGCATTAGAGAACCACTCACAGGCTGGCTGGCAAAATGTGTTCAGCAGCAGCACTCATCCTTTTCCATCAACAGGTTTGTCTAAAAATAAGTCCTCTTCACAGTGGAAAGAGAAATTAGGTTATTCTGGAGCATGATCCTTCTGTTCAGGTTATACAGGGTCTTGGTATTCCATAGTCCGCACAAAATACTTACCACATGAGAGGAGAAACCATACTTAGGGGAGGGTAAAGGTGCTTTCAAACTTAAAATGCAATTTGAGTTTGTATTAACTTATATTAACAGCCAGCGGGACTTCTGCTGTAATTTGAAATGAAGCAGGTAGGGGCAAGGTGACTAGATAAAAAGGAGGAGAGGACTCTGGTGAATTAAATAGGAGGAGGATATGGCAACATGTCATGCAGCGGTGTGAAAAGCTGTCATTAAAACTGTCCTGCGCAGCACCTTCTTTCTAGCTGCTAGCTAAAGACGTTTACATACGTGTTCCAAAGCATGGCACAGCACTCAGATCAGTGACCTGTGCAGCTAAAGTGCAACATGCTTATTATCATGCTATTCTGTTGATGCAGTCATGATACTATAGGAAATGAGGACTCTAATAACCCAGATTTTCATGCATCTGCAGTGTGTGTGTGAAGGCACTTGGGACATATCTGCCCAGGGCCTTTTTCAGGACTCAAATTTCTTTCTGCAGTGTTCCTGGTATTGCTGTCTTCAGCTTGGTCTGGCCTCCTGCCATCCACAGTGCTGTTGATGGTGGCAGAATCAGGACCAGTTAATCATTATGAGGACATCCTTGGTTAACAGCCTTGCCCAGGAAAGCATCCAGCTCTGAAATAAGATCTGAAGGGAGCACCTGGACGCCCTCAATGGAGTGATCAAGCTCTTCTCCCTCCACTTTTTTTTGCATTTTAAAATAGTCTAGTGAACTTTATGAAGCAAGTAAATCAGTATTTGGAATGTAGTTTTGTGTTCATGTTGGATAAAACATGATTGATGTTCCCAGTGGTACATCCCAGGGACTGCGGGTGCCATTCCAATGCCCATTTAACATTTTGGATTGGCATTTGCCCTACATGCCTATGATACTGTCCAAACAGAAATGCAGAGGGAGCATCCACTGCACTGTTTGATCCATTAAAGAAGATTTCCACATCATCAATTGCATCTTTTACTACACTGAAACAATTTAAAAATAGCAACAATTGTCTGTAAACTGATTTCATTGATGCATGGTGGGATGACAGGCTCATTTTTATAGAGCAATCTGTGCAAATGACAACACTGTGCATTAAAAACAAAAGAAAATAAATGGGGACAACAAAAAGCATTAGATATGTGAAGAAATGTAGCCAAAAGCAGTAGTCACCCAAAAATAATTCTCCATTACACACCACAGTGCAATCGCCATTCATAACATCCAGCACAAACTTTTTTTAGCTGTACTAAAGACCTATGTGAAAGTTACTAATGCAGGCCAGAGTCATTTTAATGGAGTTTCCTGTAATCACTGAAAACAATAAAGTGAATTAGATTAACTTATATATAGTGGCTAAATTACACAAATACTCTTAATAAATAATAATCCATTTTATGCTGGTGATCTTTGACAAATCTCCTAACTTGGGTTTTTGGTTTGGTTTGATTTTGTTTGGTTTTTTGTATAGAAATTTAGCCATAGAGAACTGTTAATTTGTGGGAATCAGTAAGAGGAGTAGAAGGGCTATTTAACCCTTTGACCTCACGCTATTTTTCTTGATCAATGTCATTGCACATGAAGCTCTGCTGGGGAAAAAATGCAGTTTCGGGCAAACAGCCTCCTTCACCCTAAACCACCATTCCTCCCTGCTCCACCAAAAATATTGCAGCTGCATTTCAGTTTGTTAACATCCCATTGAGAGAGCAGTCAACCAACTCCCATAAACATATGGCTTGGCCATTTAGAAGTGTAGTTTCAACAGAGTAAGGTAGCCCCTGCTATCCTGCTTGACAAACCATGTTGTCCCAGTAATCACTGTTATTGCACACCTTCTGTTATGCTGAATACTCTGTACATACCAAGAATCTCTCTGATGAGGACTGCTTGGTCCAGGACTGCTGGGTCACTCATCTCATCCCCTTTCACAGTTCTCACACGAAAGTGAAGTTTGTCACCAGATGTTAGATTGCGGATCACATAACGTGTGGAAAGGAAGGGCTTGTTATTGGCAGCCACCCAGTCTGTAGCTAGAACAAAAAAATGTGATAGGTAAGGCAAAATATTTAAAATGAACAGGTTCTTAAGGAAGAACCATTGCATTTATTATTATGTATTACATTTCTAACCTGCTCCATTAGCCATAAGGCTCTCTGGGTGGGTTACAGCAGAAAATAATTACAAAATAAAATACAAAATAGCATAAAATAAAGATTAAAATACAAAACAACAATTACAAATAAAAAACATTGTATAAATCAATTCAGTGGACAGTGAAGGCCAAAACTTTAAAACAAACCTGTCCTAAAGAGATGCATTGAACCACATCTCCAAACATCTCATTGGCTATGCTAGCTGGGATTGATGGGACATATGAGGACACCAGGTATGGGGTTGGCTGCTCTAAAAAGACCACTCAGTTCTTGCTTTGGAAAAAGGGATGAAGGCTGTATCCCACAGCACACTTGGCTTCAGAATAATCCCCACTGAACACAAATTTCTAGGGAGTATTTCCAAGGAAACAATGATATGACTGTTCAAAACAATTACATTACCAGGTGCTAACTTACACATTTACCTCTAACCAAATCTGAGGCTGCAGGATGTCTGTTCGATAGATTCCATGGATTGTATGTTTGTCCTACTAAGAGAAGACCCATTGAACTAAACATGACTTAAGTCACCAGATACAAACTAAAACCTAAAAGTATTTATTTATTTATAACTTTTATATGCCATCACCACATGCCTTGGCATCTCGGGACAGCTCACAACGTACAATTAAAAACAATAAACAATAACAAAATCCATAAAATTATATAAAAACAAAAGCAAAAAACAAAGAAATGATGGTTAACGATAAAATATTAATTTTTTAAAATAGCCATTAAATAAAAAGGTTTTAACCTGGTGTCGAAAAGAATATAGACTCAGTGGCAGGCATGCCTCTCCAGGGAGTGCATTCCATAACCTGGGTGCCACCGCAGAGAAGGCCTGCTCCGAGTAGTTGTTCTTTTTATCTCCTTTAAAGAGGGCTCCTGGAGCAAAGCCTCCCCCACAGATCTTAATGGGTGTGAAGGCATGTAAGGGAAGAGGCGCTCCTTCAGGTATCCTGGTCCCAAGCCATTCAGGGCTTTGTAGGTTAAAACCAGCACCTTGAATTGGGCCCGGACTTCAACTGGGAGCTGGCGGAGCTGGTAGAGGACCTGCGTTATGCAAGAGTAATGGCCAGTCCCCGTCAGCAACCTGGCAGCTCTGTTCTGTACCAGCTGAAGCATCAGGACCATTTTCGAGGGCAGCTCCACATAGAGCGTGTTGCAGTAATCCAAGTGGGAAGTTACCAGAGCATGTATCACTGTTGCTAGGGAGTGCTCATCCAGGTAAGGACGCAGCTGATGGATCAGTCAAAGTTGTAGGAAAGCGCTCCTTACCACTGTTGCCACCTGGAACTCCAGTGACAGCTCTGGGTCAAGGAGTACTCCCAAGTGGCGGACCCTGTGCTTTAGAGGGAGTGCTACCCCATCCAGAACTGGGTCAAAATCACCTACCTGGAGACCCGCACCGCCCACCAACAGGACTTCCGTCTTATCTGGATTGAGGCTCAGTTTATTGGCCCTCATCCAGCCCATTACCTCAGCCAGGTAGCGGTTCAGTACAGCCACCGCCTCACCTGGAGCAGATGTAAATGAGAGGTAGAGCTGGGTGTCATCAGCATACTGATGACTCCGCAGCCCAAACCTCCTGATGACCTCTCCCAGTGGTTTCTTGTAGATGTTAAATAGCATGGGGGACAAAATAGAGCCATGGCGCAGAGCTACAGTCCCCCAGCACCACCATCTGGGATCGACCGGCCAGATAGGAGTGGAACCACTGCCACGCAGTGCCTCCTACTCCCAGGTCAGCCAGCCTATCCAGAAGGATACCATGGTTGATGGTATCGAAAGCCACTGAGAGGTCCTGGAGAACCAACAGAGCCACAGTCCCCCTGTCCCTCTTCCTGCACAGGTCATTATACAGGGCGACCAAGGCATTATGGCATAATCTATTCATACTGGGGTTGAACTGTATCAATATCTAAACATGTTTCTGCTGCATTTGTGCCCAGGCTGTTTTTTATGAACATTTGTGCCATACTGACAGCAACTGTTTCTTGGCTTACGGTCAACAGCTTCAAATCACAAATCAGGGACAGAAATGCTATGCAGCTATGAAATTATAAATATGGGAGAATTCATTTGTGTAAGCTGAAACTGCCTCATATGAAATATTCAAAAAACAATTTGGAATACGGAAAGATATTTCCAAGCAGAAAAATGAGCTAATCTAACAATAATTATTTATGAGAAATTATTCATCCAGCTGCAGCTCTGCAGACCGATGCATTTAAACTCATCAAAATGAAAATGGGTAACAATGAAACATAAATTCCTCATAGCAATCAGTAGGGATATCACCAGTGACAAAGAAACTCAGCAGTTCTCACACATTGATATATTTAATGTGTAAAACAAATTTTGTATACAAACAAACAAACAAACAAACAAACAAGAAGGAAGGACACATCGCTGCTCATTCAGGCATGATCCATCTATCATTGGTCTATGAGCCAAATTGCTGATATAACCTGTTTGTTCCCGATGATTTTAATAAGTAAATTGCATATACTTTAAAGCCGTTTTAAAGCTGTTGCCCTACAGTGGTTTCTATAACCTTCTATGCTTGTGGAAACATTGGTCAAGAGGGATGTCATTGGCAGCTTCCATAATTGTTACGCAATACATTTGCACAACCAAAACCCTTGACAAAAGAGCAAGATTCCTCCTTCCATTTTGAAAGATGCCTCCACAGCTGTTTATATGCGAGTCTGAATGATACGATCAGCTTTTTCTAATCTGCCCCCATCCAAATATTTCCACATACATTTTCCATCATCCCCCTGCCAGTATGGCCATACATTTAGAATCCTAGCCAAGTTTGTAGTTTCCTTGTTGGGAAGTAGCTTTCTTCTTTGAACAATTTTACAGTAGATGAGTGTAATGTTTCCTGCCCCAGGTTCAAGTTCTGTGGCTCTCCAGCTGAATGGAGCCACCACAACCTTTAAACAAGAAAATCTATACTTGTGGAATGTCCCTGTCCCCACCCTGCCACTTCAGAGCTTCTAGAAAAAGACTCACATCAAAGTTGTATAATGTTTACAGTCCTGTTATTTGCTATGTCTGCCAGTGTGGAGTGATTACAGAAAGTTGGACTGGCGACTGGGAGAACCAGGTTCTAGTCTTCACTAAGCTGTGAAGTTCACTAGGTGACTGGGCCAGTCTCAGCCTAACCTAACTCACAGGAAATGAAACGGATTTGTGTAAGCTAGTCTGGATTCCTCACAAGAGGAAAAAAGCTAGACATAAATAAATACAATATAAGAAGAAGAAGTAGTCTAAGCTTTTCACAACTTGAGCATGGAGTAAGGTAAAGGTAAAGGTTTCCCCTTGACGTTAAGTCCAGTCATGCCTGACTCTACGGGGCGGTGCTCATCTCTGTTTCCTAGCCGAGGGAGCCAGCGTTTGTCCTCAGACAGTCTCCGTGGCCATGTGGCCGGCATGACTAAACAACAAAGTGCACAGAACGCTGTTACCTGCCCACCAAAGTGGTACCTTTTTATCTACTTGCATTTGCATGCTTTTGAACTGCAAGGTTGGCAGGAGCTGGGACAGAGTACGGGAGCTCACCTCGTTGTGCAGATTCGAACCGGTGACCTTTCGGTCAACCAGCCCAGCAGCACAGTGGTTTAAACCACTACGCCACCTGCAGTCTGAGCATGGAGTACATGCATTATAAACCAGCAATCACATAAACAGTTGGCCTGGTGCAAAGATCATATGCTAACAATAGTCTCTGCACACCTGCAATCTTCCAGGATTCAATGAACCCTGCATGAAAATCTCCCCATTAGATTGTGATTGCAGATATGTCAGCAAAACAAGAAGCAATACATGCTATGCTATTTTCCACGTCAGCACATGCAGTTCTTCATGCTTACAAGAGAGTAAAGCCCAAGCCTACTTCCATCTTTGCAGTGCTCAACCACATATCCATCTGGGCCAGAGGGGCCAACATTCTCTGGCGCATCCCATGTGAGAGTCACAGAGTTGTCGTTCACATCATCCAGTGTCAGATTCAGCGGAGGACCAAGCATTCCTGCCACCACAAAGACAAAGATATTAACAAGGCATTTTCCATCCCCTTCACTCCAATATAGGAACCCACAGTATTTTCTTCCAGATTAAGGGAATATCATTGCATGATAACAATGCAAAATTTCTGGTCAGACCAAGTGCTCACATTTCTGCAAACAGAATTGTCAGTTAGTCATGCCTCAGTGCTGGTCTGCCCCTTTGACCATGTGTCCCAATGCCTCTGCACACTCAGTTGAAGACATGGAAAGAGTCCCTGTGCACACGCATACACAAGTGACAGGGACTCCCACTGTAACACTTCACTGAAGCTCTTACATATGCAAGAGGTCCCTTTCACACATACAAGTCAACACACACAGCTGGAATATAACCAGCGGGGCACACCAACATCTGAGATGAGGCTGGGGTGAGTCCAGCATGGGAGTACTTCCTCTGACCAGTGGGAAGTAATGGTTACGTGTGGGACTGGGACCCAGGTGATCTGGGTTCTAGTCCCCACTCAGCCATGGGGCTCACTGGGTGACTTTGGCCCAGTCGCAGACTCTCAGCCCAACCTACCTCATTCGGTGTTGCTAGTAGTGAAGTCGTGCCCAACCCATCGCGACCCCATGGACAACACTCCTCCAGCCCTTCCTGTCTCCCACCATCGCCTGGAGTCACCTAAGCTCACACCGACTGCTTCAGTGACTCCATCTAGCCACTTCATCCTCTGCCGTCCCCTTCTTCTTTTGTCATCAATTGTTCCCAGCATTAGGCTCTTCTCCAGGGAGTTCTTCCTTCTTATTAGGTGGCCAAAGTATTTGCATTTCATCTTCAGTATCTGGCCTTCTAAAGAGCAGTCAGGGTTTGATCTCCTTGCAGTCCAAGGGACTCGCAGGAGTCTTCTCCAGCACCACAATTCAAAGGCCTCAATTCTTTGGTGCTCAGTCTTCCTTATTTATTTATTTGGAGTTTTTGTATGCCGTTCCATTCGCGAAAGCGTTATGGTCCAGCTTTCACAGCCATACGTCGCAACTGGGAAAACCACAGCCTTGACTATACGCACTTTTATTGGCAGGGTGATGTCTCTGCTTTTTAGTATGCTGTCTAGATTTGCCATAGCTTTCCTCCCCAGGAGCAAGTGTCTTTTAATTTCTTGGCTGCAGTCCCCATCTGCGGTGATCTTGGAGCCCAGGAAAATAAAATCTGTCACTACCTCCATTTCTTCCCCATCTATTTGCCAGGAGATGATAGGACCGGATGCCATGACCTTAGTTTTCTTAATGTTGAGTTTCAAGCTAACTTTTGTGCTCTCCTCTTTCACCTGCATCAAGAGGCTCTTTAATTTTTATTTATGTATTTAATATATATGCTGCCCCATTAGCCATAGGCTCTCTGGGCAGCTTATGACACAATAAAGTCCACAATATACAATAAAACCAATGAGACAATAAAAATCAACTACTAAAACTAAGTAAAACAAATAATAAACTGATACATTAATAAGTAAGGAATAAATAAGGGTTGTTATTGTTGTGAGGATAAGATTAAGAGCAGGAGAATTATGTAAGTTACCTTGAAAGGAAAAGAGGCAGGATATAAATAAAATAGATAAAAAACAGGGCGATAGTGCTTTCCCTAGGGACACAAAGAATATCACAGTCGTAATCCCTTTAACCTGTGTGGGGACAGGTCTGCCACTAGGCAGAGCCGCTAGCGACAGGCAAAGCGGTGCTGCAGGATGGACCTGGGCATGCGAGGCAGCCTGCCCTCTGCCCCCCGAGCTGCCACTCGACACATTGCAGGAGCCTGCTGCAGCAGGAAGACTCGGCGACCCCCACAGCCAGCTCGAGCAGATGGAAATGGCGGGGGGAATCTTGTCCTTTGCCTGAGGCACCAAAACGCCTTGATCCTGTGAGATGCACCAGTGGTGTGTGAGCCAGTGTGGCACAGTGCTTAGAGTGCTGCGCTGGGAGTTGAGAGGTCCAGCTCCTAGTCCCCACTTGGCCATTAAGCTCGCTGGGTGAGCTTGGGCCAGTCTCTGACGCTCAGCCTATCCTACCTCACAGGCTTGTTGTGAGGACAACATGGCGAGCGGTGAGGAAAAGGATTCGGGAACCCACCTTGTGTTTCTTGCAGAACAGAAGGCAGGATGGAACTATCATGAAGAAATATTACAGGTCTCTTGCGGTGGAGAGGGGGGATGCCGCCGATCTCACTGCCCTCGCATGCTTAGTTTTAGCTGTCCACCGCCCAGGAAGCGGCCCCTGGGGCTGAGCAGAGGCGGAGAAGTGTTTTCCCCAGAGAGATGGGGAGGGTTCCGCATGAGCGCATTGCTCACGACGGCGCGCAGGCTGCTCCCCTTTCGCCCATGGCAAGACCCCGCGCCGCGGCTTCGACGGGGCGGAAAGGAAGCGTGCGGCGCAAGCCCCACCCAGGCCGCTCTCCCTTCCCGGCCGCCTGCCGCACCGAGGCTCCCAGGCGCCACGCGTGAGGCGCCCGCCGCGCTCGGAGGGGAGAGGCGCGCACGGGCTGCGTGCCCGCTCCGTTCCGCCTGCCTTCCTGCGCGCCCGCCGCCCTCACCTTCCGTGCGCTTCCGCCTGGAACCTGCAACAGCGGGTGGGGGGCTTTCAGCCGCGGGCGGCGGCGCGGCCGGCTCCGGCGCGGCGGCGGCTTCTACGTGCGGTTCGCTGTCCGGGGCAGGTGGCCCGGGAACCGGCTGGGCTTCAGGCGGGGCGGCCTCCGCAGCCGCCTCTTGGACGGACATTGGTGGGGTTTGGGGTCGCGGCACTCCGCGCCGAGATGGGGGACGGTGCCGTGCCCGGTGGAGGTGCTAAGAAAGTCTCAGCTAGGTGGAGAGTCCCACGAGCAGCCCGGAAACGCCTTGCCCTTGCTCCTTCGGCCGGGGTTCCTGCTTTCTGCTCTCGGCAAGAAAGGGGAGGGGGTTTATAGGTCCCTCGCCCCCCAGCCTCCCCCCCTCCTCTCCGTTTTGGCCCATCTGTCTGAGCGGGTGGGGGAGCCAGGAATAGCCGCCCAAGCAGCTGCAAACTGCAAATTCAGCATCTCCTCGGGAGGCGTGCGGCCTATTGAAACAGCAGGTCTAGCCCCCGGGCAATTTCCTACATTGTTCGGTAAACAGAGAATCTGTCTGTCACCAGAGCTGGGCTTAATGTGAGCCAGGCTTTAGCAAGGCATGCTTGCCTTGACTTGGCTTTGTTAGGGCTGAACCTTGAAGTAGTAGTGAATGCCTCTGAGCAGCTGCAGAGTTTTTTCTCCACCTGTGACTGAGCCCCTGTACTTTGCTTGTGGGGATCAAAGGTGCAATCCTGTGAATGATTAAGCAGAAAAAAGCCCTACAACCAAGCTGGCTGGGAAATGCTGGAAGCTGATTGATTTATTTCTATCTAAACATGCATGGCATTCATTCAAAGGCTCCCTGTAAGTCCAAGATGACTTGATAGCACCTAACAGCAACAAACATGGTTTGCATGTTAAGGTGTATGACGTGCATAAGCCTGAGCCCTGGACCTTTCTCTCTCCGTATAAATTAAAATTAAGCCCTGAGTCCTTCAGTTCAGCACTTCAACTTTATTAATTAGTTTGATGATTTTATTCATACAAGAAAATGGCACTGAAGTGGCTAGAAATTAAACTAGAAATGAAGGAAGCAGTACCTCCCAAAGACTTACTGTGTCAGGCTGGGCATTGTGTGTCTTTTTAGTAGTGCGGGCTGAAGCACCTATGCCAACAAAATGAATACACACACCTTTCTAGGTGTTTTGGATTTCAGATCTGAGAAGCCCCATTCACCATGGTCAGTGGAAAGGGATTATGGGAGTTGTAGTCTTAAACAACCAGAGTGCCAAAGTTTTTCCACGCTTGGTATAGTCTAATGGGAGTTAGGATGGGACTACATGATACAGGGATCAAACTGCACATCTAAAGCTAGAGCAACAGATTCATTAAGGGATGAACATTTCATTGCAGAATTGCCAATGAAAATGAGAAACAGAACAAAATACTGTTGCAAGAAAAACAATGAAGAGACTTGTAGCGTCTTTAAAGAATCACAGATTTTTGTTCATAATATTTTGTGCACTAAAGGTAACATGACATCTTTACTTTGTAACAACAATAATAATAAAGCTGCAAAGCTGGTGATGACCAACCCTAAACGGCTTGGATCCTGGTTACCTGAAGGAGCGCTTGCATCCATATATGCCCAGCCACCCCTTGAGATCGGCGGGGGAGGCCCTTCTCCGGGAACCCTCCGTGAAAGAAATTAGGAGGGTGGGTACTCGGAGGAGGGCTTTCTCTGCGGTGGCGCCTCAGTTATGGAACGAGCTCCCCAGAGAGGTCCGCCTGGCACCGTCGTTATTTGTTTTTCGGCGCCAGGCGAAGACCTTTTTATTCAAGCGGCATTTTAACTGTTAATATTATTGGATTTTATCTGGCCAGGGCGGCTTATTTTATACTGTATTTTTGTATTTTTAATGTAATGTTTATATTTTGATTTATATTATAATTATTTTAACTTATGGTTGTAAGCCGCCCTGAGGCTTCAGCGAATGGGGCGGCATAAAAATGTTTTAATAAATAAATAAATAAATAAATAAATAAATAAATAAATAAAATACAACATATAATAACATTACAAAGAGAGCTATTTCTTCCCCAAATGGAGGGTAGCTTGGAAGAACTGTAGGCATATTGAAGTTTGGGAGTATTTTAGCCAACAGGAGTTACCTTGATTGATGGTTTGATGTGTTTGAAACTGTATGAAATTTACTAGGAGAGTAGGGGAGTGGGTTTAGTACTCTAATACTGGAATTGGGAGCCTCGTTTCTTAAGTGAGAATCCAGTAATGAAACCTCTTGCTAGTGCAAGTGGTGGCAGCATATTAATACAGTCATTTACTGTGCAATTCTATATGTGTTTAGACAGAAAATGTCCCACAATGCTCAGCATTCTCTCATCAGCATGGCTGGCTGGGAAATGCTGGGAACTGTTAAGCCTTTTTCTAGACCTAAACATGCATAGGATTGTGTCCTGATAGTTGTCAAATCTAAACGTGGGAAATGTTGCCAAATGCCTTCTGTTAGGACATGCTTGCACCCCTAATTTTCCACAGTTGCCTTGTGAGGTATTTGGACTTTTGCTAGAATCCAAATGGCAGAAGTGCTAATGGTCTGGACAGAGTGGCGTTGGTACAAGAGCCACCCCATATTGAGAAGGTGAATAAAAGGGTTTCTGGCAGAGTGAGAAACAAGGAACCTGGATGATGTGTTCCTAGGAAGCTCACACCATATGGACAAGGCCATACATAATTTCCTGGCTGTACATAATTGAATCAGTGCTTAATTTCCTGGGCATATGTCCTAATTCTTTTCTAACACCCTAACAGGTGTTTCATTTGATTTGATATATGTTCATCTCCAGTGACTCATTTTAGAGACAGCCAGCAACTTTGCTGTAGCTTGAGAAAGCAGTTGATGGGGTCTTAAATGTCAAAGGGTTCGAGCTTAGCTTCTCTGCAGGGATAAGTCTCATTGACTTCATGTTGATAAGCTGTTTTCTTAAATGCATTTCAGATGGGGCTGAATGGTTATTAACTCTTTTAAAATAACTTTGGGTGTGCATCAGTCCAGATGGTGGAGTTGGCAGTTTTTTGTTTGTCATAAGAATGCAAGAATTGAATACCCTCAGGCAGCAGGGCTACATACCTCACCAGGACCAACATGAGATCCGTGAGATTCCTTTTAAACATGCAGCACATCTCCCTAGATTGACCTGAATGCACTGAAGTTGTCAAAATGCAGTAGCTAGGCATGCCAGCACCCGTGTGCAGCACAAAGTATCCCAAAGTCTGAAATAAATGGCAGGCTCTTGCTACCTCATGAGATCAACCCAGTCACTGAAGCTTAATGCACTGGTTTGCAAACATTCTATTGCCTGAAGGGACTCTTTCCAACACTGGTTCATCTCCCCAGGCATGTGGGTCATGGCAACCCCGCAATTGTTCCTGAGTGCACACTTGGTTCAAACATGCCATTGGCTTGGAGCCTGCCAGGTCTCACTGTTGACTCACCTGGACTGAGACTATACCTGACGACTCTGCACTCTGCAACATACTGTATGTTGCAGGGGAGAGCTGTGATGAGCAAAACCGGGCTTGTCAGTGTGGGGGGCAGTGAATCAGTGACAGTCACACCACTGTGCTGTTTGGGCATCGGTGGGATGGCTGTCATTGGTGGTGGCAAGAGGGGTTGCCTGCCTTGCTAAGTAGCTCACTAGCCAACCTTCCTGGACCGCTGATGGAGTTGGTTGCCCAGGTTCAGAAGAAATGGCCATCCAGTGTGGGTCCCACCATTCTGCTACAAGGCCTGCGTTGTCAGGATGGCTTCCACAAGGGAAGCAGTCTGTGTTTGCAGGACACAGCCCACAAATACTTGTAACCCACAATGAGTTGTCGTGTTGTGCAAACTCAGCCAATAGGTAAAGCAGAGCCCATTGAAAATTTCTTTTATCTTCAGTCTGCAAATGCGAAAAGTCACCCATAAACCATCCTTTACCAAAGCAAGCTATTTTTAGTCATGAGAGTTCCACAAGACATGTCACCTTTGAAGAATTAAAGGGCACTTGAAAATTTGTACACACAACCTGCCTCAGGCCTTCTTTCCCCTCGACATCTTAATCTTGCACTTTTGCATGGATCCCATCGCCCTCTCCTCTGGGCCCATTACTGAAAAAACAGCAGGAAAATGGAAAGATCAAGAGGAAAGTTCACCAATCACAACTGCAAATGCTACTGAGTACAGATCACCGCTGAACATTGTTTCAGATGTCTCTAGGCCTGGGGAAGTAGCATTCCCAGATTAGGGTCGTCATGTCATTCGTTCAGAGCAGGCTGAGTCACATTCTCTGGGATTTGCAGCAGGTGAACTCGTAAACCAAGATGCTTCCTGTGATGCATATGATGCACAATTGTGTACTTACTTCACTTGTGGACAATGATGACAGGTGTGAGCCTGGCCAATATGACGGGGTCCATCATTCAGGAGATCATTGCTGCAGGACAGTACATTCTGCTCTGGGAAATATACTTTTTATACATCTTCCTAACAAGGTAACTCATCATGCAGGTCAGCCAAAACAGCAGGCTTTAAGCCAATTGATTTAAGCCAATTGATTAAGCCAATTGATTGACTTACTCTAACTGGATTATTTTATACAAATAATTGCTGCAGCTGCACTTGGAATGTCATGTTCAGTACCTGGAAAAGGACATTATTGAGTTGGAAAAGTACAGAGAAGGGTAGCAAAAATGATTGGGGGCTGGAGCAGCTCCCTTATGAGGAGCAGCTGCAACAACTGGGACTTTAAGCTTAGAAAAAAGGCAAGGAATAGGAGACATGATAGAGGTGTTTAAAATAATGCATGTGTGAAGAAAGGAGAGAGGGAGACATTTTTCTCCTTCTCCCATAACACACAAGCTCAGGATCATCCCATGAAGCTGATTGGTTGGAGATTTAGGACAGATTAAGGGAAGTACTTCTTCACACAGGATAGAGTTGTACTATGGAATCTGGTCATGCCATGGTCACCACTTGCCATGGGAAGTGCTGATGGCCACCAATCTGGATGGCTTTAAAAAGGGATGGAGAAGGCTATCGGTGGCCACTAGCCTTGCTGGCTGCCTGCCATCTCCTTTCTAGTGCATGTACCACTAGCTGAGGAGCAAGGCAGGAAGACGTCTTGCACCCAACC